ATATATATATATATATATATACAAGGTCCAAAATCCGTCTAGAATCAGAGTGTACAAAATACATCAAAAGCTACTATACTAAGTAGCTAAACATCAAAAGATCCTAGAAGATCCACTCCATCTGCCAGCTGCAGACTCACCATCAGCCACCTACATATCCATGCTCTGCTCCCATACGTAGTATGATCATCGCAGTCCAAACATCATGGAGACAACAAAGGGTAAGCTAGTGTAAAGAAATCAACATACATATATAAATATGTGAATAGAAAACATCTACAGCTATCAGCACATCCACACGGCTTATAATACACCACAGCAATTCAACAATATCAGCACCGCTCAGCGGCTATAACAGCACCACAATAGTGGCTAATAGCAGCACCGACATAGCGGCTAGAACAGTACCACAATAGTGGTCATACACAGCATATAGCTCAGCTAACACAGCACAACCAAACAGCTCACAGCACAGCACAACAAATCAGCATACAGCACGGCTAAGTAGTATTCAACACAGCTTACTACCCACGACTCAACTCATCATTCTAGAGCACAACAATAATATAATTTTAGCATTTAATAATCATCAATAACAGCCTAGCTCAGCATAGCAATATCGGCATCCAGCACAACTAAACAACTTACAGCACAACAATATCAGCATACAGCAATTAACAGCTTACGGCTCAGCTAAACTACTTACAGCACAGCCTAAACATCCTTAATCAACAATAACATCTAACAGCACGACATATTTGTCATTTTCAGCTCAACAGCATAATTCAGCGTTATCAACTAGTTAGCACAACAATATTTAACAACTATAGCTCAGCTCAGCATAAAACAACCTCTCTCAGCAATTTCAGCAAAGTTTAACAGCTAATAGCACATCAAGTCAACATCCTCCTACGCGCCCGGCGCACCCATGGTCGCGCCCAACGCGGCTCAACCAGAGAGTCCCACGGGCCAACGCGCCCGGAGCAAGAGTTCCCGCGCCCGGCGTGCCTCAACCAGAGAGCCCAAGGCTCTCACGCGCCTGGCGCAATTCAGATTGCGCCCAGCGCATACCAGGAAGAGACTCCAAGGAGTCTCACGCGCCCAGCGTGGCCTAACCCGCGCCCAGCGTGGGGAAGGCAGAGACCTACCAAGGTCTCGCGCCCGGCGCAATTCGCATTGCGCCCAGTGCCCTCTTGGCAGAGACTCCAAAGGAGCCTCCGCGCCTAGCGAGTCCAAACGCGCGCCCAGCATGGCACCAGAACACCCAAAACAGATCACCATTGATATCGCGCCCGGCGCAGCTCAAGTCACGCCCGGCGGGGGCCAACCAGAGACTCCCATTCTCAAGCTCGCCCGGCGCACTCACCTTTGCGCCCGGCAGGCTTGCCTAAATAGAGCCTCCTGGTGGTCACACGCCCGGCGCGAAGAACAGCGCCCAGCGCGAAGCTCAGCAGCAACACTCTATTTTCGAAAAACTTCACCAAATCCTGCAAAAACAGCCAGAAAACCAGCATGCAACCCATCCAAGAGTTCCCATTTTCATCAACCATCCCAAAAATCCCAGCTTTACCCACATGCAGCCACAATCAAGAAAACCTCAAGATTTTCATCAAAACCCCGGAAACCCCGAAAACCCATTTTCATCAAAACAACACAATATTATACAAGACGACTTAAATATCATGATTCAGCATGAACATCCCACAGCACAACTCATCATTAATCAGCTCAACAACGAAATTCAGTATTAGCATCATACAGTACGGCTCAGCGTTACATCATTAACAGCATAAATAACATACTTCACAACTCGACTTTTCATCATACAGCATTAACAACATTAGTCAGCATAATCAACCACTTTACAACATAAACATGTCCACACCTATAACAACTTATCAACTTAACTTCAACTAGCTTCCCTTACCTGAAGATTGGATCAGGATAGCCAAGAAGCGGAATCCCCTTTTCGAAGCTTAGCCCGGAACTTCAATCCCTCAAAAGTCAACTTTCTAGTCCAGAACCCTTCTCTCTAGAACTTCTCTCTAAAAAAAAACCTCCTTCCCTCAACTGCCCACAACCCCTATTTATAGACATTCCGGAGTGGCCAGAACGGCCTGTACCGAAATCGGAACGGCCCGTTCTGCACCTCCTCAACACGTACAAAATTTACATGCAGAACGGCCCGTTCTGAAATCAGAACAGCCCGTTCTGGAACTCATCCAGAACGGCCCGTTCTTCAACCAGAATGGCCCGTTCTCAGCTACGATTTATTGGTCATTTTAATAGCTTGGAACGGCCCGTTCCAGATTGGGAACGGCCCGTTCTAGGCTACTAAAACACCAACTTGCTCGTCACAATACCCCCCAACAAATAAGAATTTTCGTCCCCGAAAATAGGCTTACTTGGGAATAGAAACGGATATCGCTCCCTGCACTGCTGCTCAACCTCCCAAGTAGCCACACCAGTAGTTGCATCCCACAACACCTTCACTAGAGCAATGGACTTGTCCCTCAACTCCTTCAGCTTATGATCAACCACAACTACTGGCAACTCCTCATACGTCAGATTCTCCTTCAACCGTACATCTTCCAGCTCCACCACATGACTAGGGTCATGAACATACTTCCTCGGCTGGGATACATGAAACACATCGTGTAGGTTTGACGGACCCACACGTTGTATGATCTGATAGGGACCAACAAACCTCGGTGTCAACCTACACCAAAAGTCGAGGTCACCTTCAGAAACACATGTTCCCCTTCAGCAAACTCCAAAGGCTTTCGCCGTTTATCAGCATATGATTTCTGCCTACTGTGAGCAGTCTTCATCCTCTCTTGAATCAGCTTCACCCCCTCAGTAGTATGTAGAATTAACTCCGGTCCCACAACCACTGACTCACCATCTTGGTCCCAGCGCCCTCTTGGCAGAGACTCCAAAAGAGCCTCCGCGCCTAGCGAGTCCAAACGCGCGCCCAGCGCGGCACCAGAACACCCAAAACAGATCACCATTGATATCGCGCGGCGCAGCTCAAGTCACGCCCGGCGGGGGGCCAACCAGAGACTCCCATTCTCAAGCTCGCCCGGCGCACACACCTTTGCGCCCGGCGGGCTTGCCTAAATAGAGCCTCCTGGTGGTCACACGCTCGGCGCGAAGAACAGCGCCCAGCGCGAAGCTCAGCAGCAACACTCTATTTTCGAAAAACTTCACCAAATCCTGCAAAAACAGCCAGAAAACCAGCATGCAACCCAGCCAAGAGTTCCCATTTTCATCAACCATCCCAAAAATCCCAGCTTTACCCACATGCAGCCACAATCAAGAAAACCTCAAGATTTTCATCAAAACCCCGGAAACCCCGAAAACCCGTTTTCATCAAAACAACACAATATTATACAAGACGACTTAAATATCATGATTCAGCATGAACATCCCACAGCACAACTCATCATTAATCAGCTCAACAACGAAATTCAGTATTAGCATCATACAGTACGGCTCAGCGTTACATCATTAACAGCATAAACAACATACTTCACAACTCGACTTTTCATCATACAGCATTAACAACATTAGTCAGCATAATCAACCACTTTACAACTTAAACATGTCCACACCTATAGCAACTTATCAACTTAACTTCAACTAGCTTCCCTTACCTGAAGATTGGATCAGGATAGCCAAGAAGCGGAATCCCTTTTTCGAAGCTCAGCCCGGAACTTCAATCTCTCAAAAGTCAGCTTTCTAGTCCAGAGCCCTTCTCTCTAGAACTTCTCTCTAAAAAAAACTCCTTCCCTCAACTGCCCACAACCCCTATTTATAGACATTTCGGAGTGGCCAGAACGGCCTGTACCGAAATCGAAACGGCCCGTTCTGCACCTCCTCAACACGTACAAAATTTACATGCAGAACGGCCCGTTCTGAAAGCAGAACAGCCTGTTCTGGAACTCATCCAGAACGGCCCGTTCTTCAACCAGAACGGTCCGTACTCCCTTCCAGAACGGCCCGTTTTCCCTCCAGAACGACCCGTTCTCCAACCAGAACGACCCGTTCTCCAACCAGAACGGCTCATTCTCAGCTACGATTTACTGGTCATTTTAATAGCTTGGAACGGCCCGTTTCAGATTGGGAACGGCCCGTTCTAGGCTACTAAAACACGAACTTGCTACGTCACATATATGGGTGCACGCACGCGTGCAGTGACTTAAGAATTATTTACAAAATTGATTTTGAATCGTTTTATTTCAGTTAAAAATAATTTTAAGTGAAACTTATTTATGTTAACAAAATTAATATGAAATTTAAAATTTTAATCTAACATAAAGTTACTTAAGCTTATTTCAATTTAATTAATTTAGACACAAATCAACAAGTTGTCTAGAGATTGGAGTTGAGGATAACATGCACAAGGTATAAATAATGTAATTATAAATAAAAAAATTACTCAATTAACTCTTTAACTTGATTGATATATTAACATGATTTCGAATGATCCGACATTAATTTATATATACACATAATGAAACTATTAGATCTAGTAGTTGTAGAAATTATAGTAAACGCATGAAACCTTTTCATCGTTGTGATTTTTCTTATTAATAAAAATAAATACATAATAAAGGTTTTAATGCAACCGGGGAAAATATTACATCTATTAAACGTGATTGGAATATATATTTTTTCTAATTAAATTTGATATTAAAACATGTTAAGCTACTTATTATACAACCAAGCAAACACCAGTAAGTAAATGCAAGTAGTTACTGTATAACTAATCTAAACTTTCTAGAAGGAAAAAAAAAAAAAAAGCAAAAAAAAAAAAGCAAACACCAGTAAGCATCAAAAACATCTAAAACTGGAAAACGTACGTAGTGGTAGCACAATAGATTACATGACAAAGGATTGGAAGGGAAATTTTCAATTGTGTTGGAACGTGAAAAATGAAAATGCATAGATAATTATTGTCCATATTGGAATTATAATTACTGCCTCATGAAAAGCCAAGAAAAAAGAAAATTCATAAATAATGAAGGTGAGTGGGTGAATCAAATCCAATCCAATCCAGTGGTTTCAGAAGAAATAGGAAACGAACAGATGCCATGTAGGCTGTGCCAGATTCAGTATAATTACTATTCTACAAGGATGTTTCACTCACAGTGCAGTAGTGTCGGACACAGGACATGGTCATGCTCAAAAACTGCCAAATCACTCAGTTGTTGCATTAGGATCTGTTTGCCAACACAAAATCCACTATTCTTCTGATTTGACCTCAACATGAGATATCAATATCAATATTTTTTTGGTCTTTGTGGGGTCACATATTGAGTGAAGAGGAGACTTCTCTGTCAAGTTCCATCATTTTTCTCATTATTAAAATGCCGAGGCATAACATGCATAAATAGCTATCTGGTCCACACACAGGTCCACATTGACGCGATTGCTTTGTCGTCTTCTTTGCACCTTGCTCTCGGTATTGTTCAAAAGAAGTAAAAGGGACATACCATACCACTGTATTATTGTTATTCTGCTTTTTCAAACTTGGTTTTTACAAACCAACGAAACACCCACCCTCTTCTGCTTTTCTCTTCTTTTTATGCATTGCTGAAAAAGTCTTAAAAAAAACCCGTTTGAACGCACATCACAGAGACAGAAAGAGAGAGATTGAGGGCCCCCTCTGGGAACTTTTCTTTCTTGCTCAACAGGTAAACCCTCTCTTTTTGATTGCTCCAACCAAAAATGTATGTTCAATTCAATTCTATTATCAAATCTTTTGACTGTCTGTACAGTTATTACCCCCTCCCGGGTCAATTTGAATCTCTCCGCACCCCACAATGTCTACATCCATAACAAAAGCAATAAAATAAAAAGAACTCTTATCACATGCCCTGTACAAGCTAGTGTGACAATCCCTCCCCCCAACAAAAGTGAAAAAAATGGTCATTCGTGTCCCCCATCCGTTTCAACCATTATATTTGCAATGGCTATGAGAAAAATTTAGCCATCAACAACCATAATGTATTCCAATCTAAATGTGTGTTGAAATCACACCCATGTTTGCAGCAATTCATGGTGCATGGGATGTTGTCACCTTAGCAAGCCAGAGTTGGTCCCGGTTCACATCCTATACTCATTTGTCTCCAAGCATATCATGTCATTTATCCTCTACAAAGATTCTGTGTATGAAATCCCTAAACCTTTTGGAGTATAGCTTGGGATCAACAGCTGAGATAGAGGTGGAGTCCACTTGTAATGACTTGTATGCATGTTCTATCTTTTTGCTAATATCATAGTCTTGGAGAATGTCAATGATACCAAAGTAGAGGATGACATCAGAGATCTGGCTATTACTCTCTGATGGGGTAGAATTGCTACTTCCACCACCCGTTTGCTGATCCACTCCAGTCTTACACACTCTCTCAGCTCTGGCAGGCATGTTCATTCCGAGACGGATTAGAGGTCCCCTGGAATACCATGAATCACAATTATGGACCAAGAATTAGGATCCAAACCAGCTGTCATGAAGAGAACCAAACAAACAACAGTTCTGAAGTTTTTGGGTTGTTTTTTTTTTAGTCAAGTAATGGTTTTCCTGTAAGTGACTAGATTATAGTAATGAAAAAGAGAGAAAAATAAATTGTCTAAGGTTTACAAACAATGAAAATATTTATCATGTTACTGCCACACAAATATATCTACCAAGTTTCATGTCCTAGAAAACATTCCGATCCATAAAAATCCCTGTCAGCTACCATTTGGCTGTTCAAAAGAAAGCTCTGCCCTTACCTTAAAAAAATAAAAAGACCCTACCAGCATTTGTTTCAAATGTCAACAAAACTAATTCCAATTTTGGCAGTACAACTCAAGTCACTTTCGGTGCATCTCAATTCTCAACCATTGCGATCATATTGATAAAAGAAATCAACAAGTCACCCTCTAAATCATAGATGGATAGGACTGAAGAATAGCAAATATGATGCTTATTCACCAGCTAGTCATTTGTTTGTAGCCAACTTGCGGACACATCCTCTTGGCATTTTTCAAGCGCATGGGACATATTGATATTTTAAAACAGAAAGCATTTAGTCTCTCTGCTTTAGTTCTAGACCCGGGACCATACGCAATAACCCTCTAGGACAGGACACATGGATAGAAAGAAAAGTAATTGTCACCGACGGGTACAAATAAGAGAACGATGTTAAAGACAAAAATGATATCCCCGCCTATAAAGCATCTAGTAGTATCATTTAGAAACCGATAATTGGTGTATAGTTAAAACAATCCAGATTCTCCTGTTTAACTGTATTTGTACACGAAATGCTGAGTTGGAATTTACATTAATAGTTCAAGCTAGAAGCTGACAGAAAGCAATCAAGATTTCTCTAGATCTCCAATCCGACCATTGTCTTCTAAACGGGTTTATTAATTATAAACTTGTCAGATACTAATAAAGAAAAGAGCATACCGGCATGTGAGCATCTCATCATCATCGTGCATGTCTCTCTTGCCTGGTAAATCAAATAACCCAGAAGAATTTACATCCCTCCAGGATTTAACATTTGAAAAGGAATCAAAAACTACAAAACTATAATACAAATACCTGAATTGGAATCCCGTGGTGAACCTTTCATTTCATCAACTGAGCAATCATCACGAAAATGCAGGCCAATTAGAAGACTGTAATCCATGATTCCCTCTGCTTCCAAGAACTCACAGTCTCTATCAAGTTGCCTAGACATAAGCCATTCCATAAGACCAACTCTAAGTAAGAAAAAAAAAAAAAAAAAAAAACTCGAGATAATAGAAGAGTATGCAACTTAGCAAGCAAGAACCCTACCATTTAAGCTCTTGAAACCAAGACTGCTCCAGGCGAAAGACAAAATTAAGATCAAGGTCTTTGAGAGTGGTAGTCTCATCAATCTCCTCCCTCGGCTTATCCGTTGTTCGACCATGAGAAGAACCTTTGAGATCAAACCTTTTGTGAATCCGGTACTCGGAGCAAAACACATTGCCCATTACAATAAACCGGGTCTGTTCCATCCATGGCATTACAACTTCTCATTACATTTCAACAAGCATTTGGAATTCAGCAATACAGAATAGCAATCTGAAACCATACCTTCTGACCTCCAACAGGTTTGACACAATGCACGCCCAAGAATGCTGTCACCAAGGAGTTCTTGTACTGACAAACATGTTGGTAGTAACTTAGAAGCATCCGGATGAGCACCTGAAATGGAGACCACCAAAACCAATCAACATTGAACACCCATCATAACAAAACAAGGCAACCAAAGAAAGGTGAAAGCAAAATTTCACCTCACTCAACTACAATGTCTGTAAATTTAATGCATTCCAACTACAAACTATCTAACCTTGACTTCAGACTTCTTGACAGTCTTAATTATGAAGCGGTCATCTTGAGTGAGATAAAAGATGCTTCCACTTTTGCCCGGTGAAGACATCTCCCTAAGTGTGTCACTTCCGCAAATAGCAAGCGTGTAATCCGTAGGATCTATGGCAAATAATTCCCTTAGATGTCTAAATACCCAACCAACCAACAAACCAGTAACCACCAACAGACACAATTAGTATACCATCCACAACCATTCTTTCCTTACAAACAAAAACAACAAATCAATCAATGCAAAGAAAAACGTTAATGTCAACACCTGAACACCATGGGACAGTAGTCTTTCCACCTGAAGTCCACAGAATTATGCTGCGGCGTAAACCTAGACCCTTCCGGTGGAAACCTCGTCCAGAATTTCTCCTTGGGATCAAAATCCCCTGGCCTAAGCTCTCTCACAATAGAAGCATGCTTGGCAACAGTGTATCTACAACAAAAACACAGTAATCAAAAAAGGGTGAAAAAAAAAAAACTAAAGCAAGCAAAACTCCAAAACAAGAACAACAAACAATACCTAATACCCAGTTGAAGATTAAGAATGAGATCATAATTCTTATGCCCTCTAGACACAGTTTGGCCAGGCTTCTTAACCTCATCAAGAGACCAACAAGGGCTCTTCTGCAAAACCCCATTATTATTATTATTATTATTATTATTATTATTATTATTATTATTATTATTATTATTATTATTATTATTATTATTATTATTATTATTATTATTATTATTATTATTATTATTATTATTATTATTATTATCATCTCCACCATACTCGGACTCACTAGTACCACTAGCATCCCTGTAAAACATAGAAGCCTCAGCATTGTGAACAATGTCACACGTGATGTCACCAGCTTCTCCATCGAGCTCCCAAATACAAATCCTGGGAAAAGTCACACTCCGACAGCCATCCACCGAACACCGCTTCATCTTCTCCTCATCACGTGCCTCCTCCATAAACTCCTTCCCCCAATTCCCAGCGCAAGTGCTACCATCGCACCACGTGAAAACACCCTTCCCCACGGGCACGCCGTTCTCCCAATACCCCTCGTAGCGGTTTCCGTTAGCCCACACCAAGACGCCCTTGCCGGAAATGACGCCACCCTTCCACTCACCAACGTACTCGTTCCCGTTGCGCCACGCGTACCTGCCTTCTCCGTCCTGCAGGTTGCACTTCCACCAACCCTCGTAGACGTCGCCGTTGGCGTAGCGCTTCTCGCCGAAGCCGTGCTTCCGGTCGGCGAGCCATGAGCCGCGGTACATGTCGCCGTCCACGCCGATGAAGGAGCCGAAGCCGTCTATGCGACCGGACTTGAACTCGCCCTCGTAGGTGGCGCCGGAGGGCCACGAGAAGCGGCCCCTGCCGCAGGCCTTGCCCTTGCGCCACTCCCCCTCGTACATGCACCCATCGGACCAGAGGTACTTGCCGGTGCCGTGCGGCGCGTTCCCCGACACCGCGCCGCTGTAGATGTCGCCGTTCGGGAGAGACTTCTCGCCGGAAGCCGGACTCACGCGCCGCGACACGCGACTCGAATGACCACTGCTGCTGTTATTCTGCTGCTGCTGCGCTTTCTTCTTCTTGGCGGGAACGGGAATGCGGATGTCGTCGCGCGGAGAGAGAGGGAGAGTGAGGAGCGTCTCTTGCATCGTCTCACCGCCGGCGGAGGGGGAGCGGAGAAACACTCGTCGGCGGCAGCATCTCCAAAAGGAATAGAGAAAGAGACAGAGCGAGGTTCGTGTTTTGTGTTTTGCTTTCACTTTGTTATGTTTTCAATTTCAACCATCGCTGCTGAATGCTGATATTGCAATTTGCAATGCGTCGCGTTGCTTTTGTTTTTGTTTTTTCCAACACGTACGTCAATTTCGTACTGGCGATGTTTTTCGAGCCTGCTGTTCTCCGTCACCGACGTTACTATATATATTTGTGTCGTGTATTTTTATCATAATGTTTATATTATTATACGTAAAGTTTGTTGCGGTTGTTGTAGTAGTAGTAGTACAGGAGTTGTAATAATGAGAGAGAGGAGAGAGAAAGAGTGGGGGCGTCACACATGATATATATTGCCACTAGTGCGGTCTTATGTTTGTTACGCTGGTCGATGCTCGATGGTCGATGCTCATGGCGTGAAGGAATCATACTCAAATCACGTTTCATTTTTCCACCCCAAAAAAGGGACAAATTATTTATTAGCACCTATTTGCGACACTGCTAACTAATTTCTCATGAGAAAATTTTAATTCTCTACAAAAATGCGATTCCACCACGGAGTTTTGGGAGACACGGGGGAGAAGTAGTGTGTGGCGTGATTCATTGGGTCGATTTCACATGAGGCATTCAAGAAAAGTAAAACGCTTTGAAATGTAGATAATAGTCGGCCAAAAAAATAGAACAATATGAGATGCATCATGCATCATATCGGATTATAGGTCCATATTTCGGGTCAATGATTTCTGGGCCACACGGTGGCCTTAAAGACAAGAATCCAAATCATCAACCAACCAAATTCCACAAATATCATTGTGATTCATTTTTAAAATATATAACAATGATTTCTTCTTCTTTCTTTTTGGGACTCCTGTTGTTTATACTTGGTATTTTATGTCCACCTCTTGTTCATGGTTATACTTTATACTTGCTAGCAGTCACCACATGGGTATTTGAGAACTTTAAGATTGGTATTACTGGGACCATTTGGGTGGCCACACTCAGCCCAGCTTCAAATAAAAGTTCGCAAAATTCTCCTGTTTGTGAATTCCAAGAGGGAACTCTTATTCCACAAATATACTTTATTTTACTTTTTACACGTTACACGCTTATTGCTTGATAATCCTCTTTAGTCTTTATCCTATTTACATATCAGGGAAGTTTTAAATACGATGCAAGTTCCAAATGTTTATTTGTCTATCATATTATTATCTCGGGATGTGTATCATTTGAAGATATTGTTGGACTAGTATTAAGAAAAACTTTTCGTTACATATCTTTAAAATTAGGTATATGCATGCATAACATGACAAAAGTCTTGAATATTAGGTCATTCTTGTTTTATTCGTGAACATATTCAAACGTTTGTCAACTAGACTAAATAACAATGAAAGAGGATCACGGGCACGGCCACTCAATTCTTTGGCCTCTACTATATATGCTATCGAGAATCACTCTTATGTGGAGTTTCTAGAGACAAGTCAACAATGCTCTCCCACTAAGTCACTAACCTATATCTCCACCGAATAAAACTCGAAAGCAAACAAGATTCAAGTCAATGGTGATTACCCTAGCTAGCGCAATTTCCTCATTTCCCCCTAATATTTTGTCTCATTACAAAAGGAAAAACCATTTTTTTCCTCCTTATATATTTACGTGTCTGTTCATACCTCCAATGTCTTAGTTACTCATTCAATTGTTTCACTTATCGTGCATTCATTATTATCCTAATAAATTTGTTGGACTAATATTTACGTAGTAAATCATATAGCCATTCAAAGTGATTCATAAGCCATTCAAAAGTCAATTATGATTTGAGCTTTTGACTGCGAGAAAACGTATAGTTCTTCGAAGAGATACATAATTGAGAAAAGCGTAATCTCTATGTATGCTTTTCCCAATTTCATAGGCACTTAAGATTACCTATATATAATTACACTCAACCACATCATCTGCTAAATACTCAAGTAACAATGATTATAAATATGACAAGAATGAAGGATGAACAGGAAAAAGAGTTGTGTGTTGGGTCAAAATCAATAGGAAGGGTATTAGCCGAAAATGTGATAGCAAGATTCCCGGCTCCCCCTTTTCACTGGCCTTCAAGTTTTCACCAACGGTAAGTGTCTGCTTTGTGCATAGCAAACAACATTGGCCTCTCATCCACACATATTGGACCCTTTCATCCCTTTGCCAACAATTAAGAGGCTATGCTGGTCATAACATGGTATCTCTTTAATAAATTATGAAATCTGCAAATACTATCAGTGACCGGAAATGTTAGTCATTCGATATATAAAGTCAATTGAATTTCAAATCACTTGTCAGCTTTAACTATCTGAAGCAGTTGTATCATTGCAGCAAACCATCGAAAGAATTAAATTTTCCTGTAAAATATGCAAGTACGAATGTACGATAGCCTCTTTCATCAAATTTAAAAGGTTTTTTTTTTTACCTTGTTAATCCATTAATATTTTAAGAATAAAGTGATATCTTTTTATTGTGAGTGTGAGTATATGTGTAAGGCAAAAATCGAAATTTAATTCTTAATTAAACAACATATGTCCACTTACACCAATAACTTTCTATAAGATGTTTTTTAAGTCAAAGGGTAATGCTGTGTACCAAAGGGGAGCGGGGATCAAGAGCATTTTAAGCATTATTCAAAACTGTTCCAGGTCCCTACAAGACCCACAAAGAAAATGTGTTGGCCCACAGCACTAGGCCCAAAACTCAAGTCCCACAACTTCAACCCAATTCCCTTTATTACTCCAGAACTTTCTTGACAATAGATTGAGGTCTTTCTTTTACAATCTTGAATAGGGCATAAGTTAATCCATTTCACTCTAAAAAACAATTGTATCCATTATTATTATGCTCAATCACAAGAAACAATTGTATCCATCAATAAATAGTGACTCTCATTTGCATGAATTAAATTGACCCCACCATCTCAAACAATACGTTCGGTATTATATTCATCCAAATCAATTTTTGCTTAACTAATGCCAATTTCCTTACTTTGATACCAGATTTGAAAAGAACTAAAATACTGACACTTGCATAGATAAAATTCGCGCCATAAGAAATGAACACTCTGCCTCCACTTGCATGGATAAAGTTTCCAATTCTCATGCATTATGAGATACCCATTTCACATAAAAAAATTGTAAATTAAAATCTCTAAATTAATTCAATTCACAAACAATCCATCCAGCACAGATCGTGTAGAAAAGAAATAAAACACAAATATTATTAACAACATTTGCGCAAATGCAATCAAACCCAAAAGAGGGGAAAGGAGAAAAGGCTCAGTCAGTGCTTATTATTTTTGGGTATTTTTCATCTTGGGAATTTTCTTCTTCATGTTTCTTATCTTTTTATTCCTAAGGTGTGAGAATATAATATTCTAACGAAAATATTGGAAGCTACATTTTAATATATTTAACTTTTTTCTATATTAAAATATAACTAAACGTATGCTAAGAAACATTCTGACTAAAATATTCATAGGAATGCGATTTTCATAATTGCAATATGATACCTTAAAATAAATATTCCATGAATTCCTAATATCTTGACATTTTATTCATTTTTTTTTTTTTGCTTTTGCACGTTAGAAGTTTGTTTTTCTTCATACTCAGCCTTTGTATGTACGGTGGTTACATATCATAGTTGATGTGGCTAATAGTCTCTGTATATTGCAGCCTGTTGATTAAAAAATACAACAAATAAATATTATTTATATATATTACAAAGGAGATAAATTTTAGTAATCATATTTTTAGTCTTTACTTTTTAGTGGATCTTTGTGAGACCCGTAGCTAGTATACATCTCCTTCCCTCCCAACTCTCACTCAAGTTCTTTCTTTCACTCTCATTGCCCCGTTTACCTTTTTTCTTGTTCTTGAACTCTTGGTGGTACTCTATTTGAATTGAAGGTGCTGATCTTAGTGTGGAAGCTAGCTGAAGATTCTCATTCTCCGTTGGTCTCCGTTCGTTCTCTCTTCTTCTCTCCGTTTCTTTTCCCGGAAGCTCGAAATCTTACCCGAGGTAAGGGAAGCTAATTACTTTGTCGTGTTTGACTGTGAATGAGTTCAGAAACTTGTTTTTTATTTGATAATTGCTGGATTTGAGTTGAGATTTCTGAAAATGGGTTTTTTGGGGGGGGGGGGTTTCGGAGTTGGATAAATTTTTGGGGTTTTTGATGATTTTGTGATTACATGTTGAAAATGGATCGTTTTTGTTGATGTTTGATGAAAGAGGAAGCATTTGGATGGTTTGCATGTTGGATTGCTGGTTGTTTTGCAGGAGTTGGTTAAGATTTTTCGAACTGGTGAGGTTGCTGCTGAGCTTCGCGCTGAGCGTTATTCATCGCGCTGGGCGCGTGGCCACCAGGGGACCCCATTTGACCAAGCTCGTCGGGCGCAATGACGAGTGCGCTGGGCGCGCTTGAAAATGAGGGTCTCTGGTTGGCCCGCGCTGGGCGCGACTTGGACCGCGCTGGACGCGATACCTGTGGTAACTTGTCTTTGGGTTCTTGGGGCTGCGTTGAGCGCGGCCCTTGTCACACTGGGCGTGAGACTCCTTCGTGGTCTTTGCCTTGTGGGCGCTGGGCACAAATTTGAATTGCGCTGGGCGCGAGACCAAGGGAGGTCTTTGCCTTCCCCGCGCTGGGCGTGGGTTTGGGCACGCCAGGCGTGTGAGACTCCTTAAAGTCTCTGCCTGGCATGCGCTAGGCGCAATTGGTTATTGCGCCAGGCGCGTGAGAGCCTTGGGCTCTCTGGTTGAGTCCCGCCGGGCGCGGGCATGCTTGCGCTAGGCGCGCTGGTCCCCTGGTGCTCTCGGGTTGCACTGCGTTGGGCGCAACCACGAGTGCACCGGGCGCGGAGATGAGATTTTAATATTTGCTGGTTAATGTTATTTTATGATAAGTTTAGTTGAAATAGATGAATATGATGTGGTGACTAGTAGATAATGATGTTGATGATGTTGGGCTGTATCAGATGAATATTATTGTAAGATGTGTTGATGTGTTGTAAGATGATGTGTTGTGTTGTGTTGTATGTTGGCTGAGTTGTTGTAGGCCGTAAGGCTGAGTTGTTGTAGGAGATCTCCAAGTTGATATGCGTGACAACGCATTGTATGCTTATGGATGATTATGCTGTAAGAATTGACGGGATGCATATTGATGAAGTGTTGATAATTGTAGTTGTTCTTATTACTGAAATCTTCCTAT